CCAAGTAGCTGGGACTACAGGTGTGTACCACCATGTTCAGCCCCAGTGATGTTATTTGCTGACTTTCTTTTAATTAGAATGTTTAGGCATTTATAAATATTATTTATACATAACATTATTATTTTATCAAAACTTATTGATAATGTGTTTATATCTCTCACTTACTATTTACATTTGTCTTGCTGATGCTCTGTTCTTTTTGCCTTCTTTTTCTCCTTCATTCCTTTCTCCTCCATTCCCCTTTCATTGATTAATTATTTTATTTCCTTTCTATTAACGTTGATAATATTTCTTTATTATTATTTTTTGAGACAGAGTCTAATTCTGTTGCCGGGCTAGAGTGTAGTGGCATCATCATAGCTCACTGCAACTTCAAATTCCTGGGCTCAAGTGAGTCTTCCTGCCTCAGCCTCCTCAAGTAGCTAGGACTACAGGGTGTGCCACAATGCCTGGCTAATTTTTCTATTTTCGTGGTTGCTTACTCTCTTGCTCAGGCTGATCTCGAACCCCCTGCCTTAAGCACTCCTCACACCGTGGGACTCTCAGAGTACTAGATTACAGGTGAGCCACTGATGTCCAGCCCCGCTCCTTTAAAAACTATTTATCAGTTAATCTAGAAGTTAAAATAGGCATCTCTGACTTACAAAACTAATAAAAATAGTCGAAGTATAGCTTTTCCTGAACCATGCAGACCGTAGAACACTTGAGCACTTTAATTCCTTTACCACTTCTAACTCATATGTTGGATATTTAATCTATGTTTGTTTTATTTCATTTATTTCATTTCATTTTTGGAGACAGGTCTTGCTATCTTGTTCAGGCTGGAGTGCAATGGTGTCATCATATCTCACTGTAGCCTCAAACTACTGCGGTTCAAGCGATCCTCCTGCCTCACCCCCTCAAAAGCTGGACTGCAGACATGTGCCACCATGCCTAGTTAATTTTTTAAATTTTTGTAGAGATGGATCTTGTTATGTTTCTCACATTTGTCTCAAACTCCTGGTCTCAAGCTATCTTCCCACCTTGGCCCCCAAAGTGCTAGGATTATATGCATGCACCACCACACCCCAGCCTATGTATATTTTAAACCAAAGAACTGATATTACACTTTATGTTGTCCCATATTCATGTAGATTTACCCATATCTTTTACTTTTTTCTTGCTCTTCATCCCCTGCAGTATCCTCACTCTTCCTATCTGGAATTTTTTTTTCCTTGAAGACCACCCATCCATTTTTCTTTGCTTAAACTGTCTTAATTTTTGCCTTCTCTTTTTTGAAATTTTATTGTGGTTACATATATAAAATTTATATTTTAGTCACTTTTAAATTTTTTAATTGTGGCATAATATTACATTAACAAAATAACCATCTGGCCAGGCGCGGTGGCTCACGCCTGTAATCCTAGCACTCTGGGATGCCGAGGCGGGCGGATTGCTCGAGTTCAGGAGTTCGAAACCAGCCCTGAGCAAGAGCGAGACCCCTTCTCACCATAAATGAAAAGAAATAATTGGCCAACTAAACATATAAGAAAGAATTAGCTGGGCAGGTGGCACCTGCCTGCTAGTCCAGCCTACTCGGGAGCCGAGGCAGGAGGATCCGCTTGAAGCCCAGGAATGCAGGTTGCGCTGTGACGCTAGGCTGACACCACGGCACTCACCTAGCTCTGGGGCAAACAAAGTGAGACTCTGTTCTCAGAAAAAAAAAAAAAGAGAAAGAAATAACCATCTTAACAATGTTTAAGTGTACAGTTCAGTAGTGACTACCTTCGGAACGTGATATAAGTGGAATCATTAGTCCTTTAGTGATGTCTTGTTTCACTTAGCATAATGTCCTGAAGGTTCATCTATGTTTAGCATGCTCCATGAATTTTAGCCATTGTTGTTTTCTGCAGTTAGGGTTCTTGTTGACTTTTGACCCAAATATGCTATTGTGTTTGCTGATGGAAATCCCAAGTATAAGGTTAACTTGTTTGTTCCCAGCAACATCTCTTCCCCTGGTGGTGTCTGTATGATATAGTTTCCACTGCAAATTGTATTTGCTTGTAGAAAAATAGAGCATTACCTCATGGTCATTTGTTATTCATGCTGTTTCTCTTGTTCTGCTAGGATGCTGGTTAGGAGTAGAGTGGGACAATCCCGAGAGAGGAAAGCACGATGGGAGCCACGAAGGGACGGTGTATTTTAAATGCAGGTAACTTTTCATTATGAATTGGCATGGTCATTTAGTCAAGGTAATATTTAATAGTTGAATAAAGAGGGATGGAGAGGAAGAAACGTTTGGCTCATGGGGTAGTTATAATGTAGAATTTAGTATATTCTAAAAAGGCAGCTTTTTGATTTGTGTCTTAATCACTGCTATTTGTAGAATGCCGCCGCCTCCTGCCTTTTTTAAGACACCAATTCTTACTCCATTGCCCAGGCTGCGGTGCAGTGGTGCAAGCAAAGCTCGTTATAATCTCTAACTTCTGGGTTCAAGTGAGCCTCTTGCCTTAGCCTCCCTAGTAGCTAGAACTACAGGTGTGAACCATGCCTACAGGTGTGAACCATGCCTACAGGTGTGAACCATGCCTACAGGTGTGAACCATTAACAACCATGCCTTGTTAATTTCTTAAAAAATATTTTGTAGAGATGGGGTCTTGCTCTGTTGGCCAGGCTGATCTCAAACTCCTGGCCTCAAGCAATCATTCCACTTCAGCCTCCAAAGGGACTGGGATTATAAGCATGAACCACTGTGTCTGGCCAAGGTTTCCCTTTTTTTAAAAAAATTTTTGACTCTAAACCTTACAAGTAGGGTTGCTTTGACAGTTTTTTAAATTGGATGAATATAAACCTTTTTAATTGATTCATTAACAATTCACAATCCATTAACTGAATAATAGAAAAGAGAAATAGCTTAGATATCCAATAAAAAGGAATTGATTGCATAAAATGCAGAACATCTGAATAGTAGACTGTTGAGCCACCATAAAAAAAAAGTTCTTGTCACAGAAAGAGTTACATGTTATATTGCATTTCTGCTAATCTTTCTGAGTGCCTGATGTCAGAGAAACTGCATGAAACTCTGAGAAGGGTGGTGGGGAGATTTCAGGCAGAGCCTGTCTTTTGTTAATTTTCCTTACTTTTCAATTTCTCTAAAGAATCTCTTTTGAGTATGCTGTTTTTCCTTAAGTGAAAAACCACAGTATAGTGAACACAATACTGGCCAGGAAATCAGGGGCCCCTGATCTGCTTTTAATCTTTAACTTCTGAATAAGACCAAATTTACTAACCTCTAAAATGAAGGTCAGAGTTAGATAATAACAAAATGTGACTCCTGGTCTACCATTCTGTAATTTTAGAAAGTCTGGATAGAAGGTGAATCAGCATGTTTTTTAAGAGGCCAGCCATGCTGGCAGAAATGGAATAGGACCAGCTATGAATCTGTCAAGAGTTAGTGAAGAATTAAGGGAGCAGGTTATGTGTTTAGGGAGGTGTGGAAATAGAAATTTCTTAGCCAGGCCCACAGATCCCTTCCTCACCAAGACCATAACCTAATAAACTCTCCAATGAAGGGACTTTTCGTTTGGAGCTTGCCCCAGCCCACTTCCTGCTTCTAAAAGCTTGTCCAAATTGTCCATGATTACTTGGTTCTTAGTGGTCTCTGGATACATGATATTTTCAAAGTCTTGGTTACTCTCAGGAGAAAAATCAACTGCTTCAAATCCTGGCTAATAACAGATTTGCCCTGAAGTGCTGATGGGAGGCCTTGCTTGAGGGGCATGGACTCAGTATAGTCATGTGTTGCTTAGCGAAGGGGATGTGTTCTGGGAAATGCATTGTTAGGCTATTTTGTCGTTTGTGAGCATCATAGAATGTACTATATAAACCTAAATGGGCTGGGCATGGTGCCTCACGCTTGTAATCCCAGCACTCTGGGAGGCGGAGGTGGGTGGATCGCTCAAGGTCAGGAGTTCAAAACCAGCCTAAGCAAGAGCAAGACCCCGTCTCTACTAAAAAAAAAAAAAAAAAAAGAAAGAAAGAAATTAATTGGCCAACTAAAAATATATAGAAAAAAAGTTAGCAGGGCAAGGTGGTGCATGCCTCTAATCCCAGCTACTTGGGAGGCTGAGGCAGGAGGATTGCTTGAGCCCAGGAGTTGGAGGGTGCTGTGAGCTAGGGTGATGCCACGGCACTCTAGCCCAGGCAACAGAATGAGACTCTGTCTCAAAAAAAACCTAAACAGCATAGCCTACTGCACATCTAGGCTATATAGGACAGCCTATTGCTCCAACGCTACAAACCTGTACAGCACATTACTGTACTGAATACTGTTAGTAGTTACAACACGATTGTAAGTATTTGTGTATCTAAACATAACTAAATATAGAAAAGGTACAGTAAAAATATGATATAAAAATATTAATAAAAAGTGGTACACCGTTGTAGGGCATTTACCCTTAATTGAACTAGTTCTGAGTAAGTTAGTGAATGAGTGGTAAGTGACTATGAAGGCCAGGACATTACTTTACGCTACTGTAGACTTTATAATTACTGTACACTTAGGCTACGCTAAATTTTTTACAAAAAATATTTTTCTTTATTCAATAATAAATCTTAGCTTACTTTTTACTTTATAAACTTTTTAGTTTTTTTAACTTCTTTTAACTTTTTTTTTTTGAGACAGAGTCTCACTCTGTTGCCCGGGCTAGAGTGCTGTGGCATCAGCCTAGCTCATAGCAACCTCAAACTCCTGGGCTCAAGCAATCCTTCTGCCTCAGCTCCTGAGTAGCTGGGACTACAGGCACGTGCCACCGTGCCCGGCTAATTTTTTCTATATATTTTTAGTTGTCCAATTAATTTCTTTCTGTTTTTAGTAGAGACGGGATCTCACTCTTGCTGAGGCTGGTTTTGAGCTCCTGACCTTGAGCAATCCTCCCTCTTCAGCCTCCCAGAGTACTAGGATTTACAGGCACGAGCCACTGTGCCCACCCTATATTTGAATTCTTACCCCTGGAGTAACTCCTTACTTTGTTATGTCTTCTAGTGTAGTCATGCCTAAACATTTACATACTGAAATACATATTATCTTATTATAAATTACTTTTGTTTTATTGCATGGGCATTTTGTTGACTAAAAAATTATATGTGTAGGTAATATTATCTATGAATTCCATTTCAGGATATTTATGGGTAGTACAAAAAACATCCTTGAGTCTGAGGTGGTGGAGAACCACTGGTCTAGACATCAGGAATTTAACTTGTCCATTAATGTTGTTAATCTTTACATTTCCATTAACTAGAGCATGATTTGAACTAACAAAGACTATACTGATATATCTTAGAATTACGCAATCAGACAAAACAGATGACACTACATTTGTCATGAAGCTAGTTCAGATATCTTGCTAGTATGTTGTATACACTTACTCCCTTTTAAGAAATTCCTTGGAATCTTTCATATTTCAGATTTTACTTGGAATGTGATAATAACAAGGTAATATAACAAGGAAGTATATTTTACCACAGTAAACATTTAAAAATGTTTAGATGTTATTTTAATGAAGCCAGAGCAGCTTACAGTTGTCAGATCATACAGCTTCTTATAAATATGTTTGTGAAATCATTAGGTGGCAAAATGGTGGTGTACCTGTTTTAAATAAGCAAAATATGAATCGAAAGTTGTCGTAGCAGAACTAGCATCCCCATCTCTTCAGAAGTATGTCTTAATATCAAATGTATTAGGCATATAGCAGTGTAGTTATGCTACATAAAAATCTTCAAAAAGTTACTTTTCTCTATGTTATGCAAAGGATACCAGGAATTACTGAGTGGGATGTATGGTGAGCTCAGCTACTTCTTTATTTCATTTTATTTTAATTTTTTTGAGACAGGGTCTCAGTCTGTTGCTGGGCTAGAGTGCCATGGCATCATCATAGCTCATTGTAGCCTCAGACTCCTGGGCTCAAGCAATCCTCCATCCTAACCTCCTAACTAGCTGGAACTCAGGTGTGTGCCACCACGTGTAGCTAATTTTTATATTTTTTATAATGACAGGATCTCACTATGTTGCTCAGGCTGATCTCGAACTCCTGGTCTCAAGCAGCCCTCCTGCCTCAGCCTCCTAAAGTGCTAGGATTGTAGGCGCGAGCCACCGTTCTGGCCTGAGGTCAGCTTCTTGAATCTCCCCAGAGTCTCAGGTTGGTAGCAATGGTATTCTGCTGCTCAGGGTTAGGTTCTACCTCTCTAGGACATAACTTTGGAATAGACAATGTAGTTTTCAAGGCCCATCCTAGTGCAGTTTTCCCCCCAACTAGTGCAGCTTCCATTGATCTCATGAAACTCTGGCACAGAACAGAATAACATTCGCAAGGGTCTAACCTCTGCTTTAACAATGATCTTAAAGTACGACATAGGATGGGTTTTTACCCAGGGAATAAACAGTTTTACAGTTTGCTTGCAGTGTTTCCATATTTCATCAATGTTCCTTACTCCTAACTCATTGAAGTGGTTATAGCAGGTATTATTCATATCTTTCACTGAGGACCAAATAAAGTAATGGTTATGAGTACAGCATGAAAAACCAGAGTTGAGCTAAATCCAGACTGTGGGCTTCATTGTAGGTCTCTAAAAATAGGGTCATTTTTTTGTTTGTTTTCTTGACTATTTGGTGCAACACTGTCAGAAGAAGATTAGGGAGTGGACCGGATCACCTTGATGGCCCCTCTAAACATGAGTTTTGATGGTTTCTTGTCACTCTATTTTCTATCTGATCTTTTCTGTAAGGTAAATGTAGTAATCTCCTGAGGTATTATGTCCATAATTAATATTTATAATATCAATTAATAGTGTTTTACAGTGTCAAAGTCAAAATAAAGAGATGAATCTTTAAAATTAACATTTTATTTGGGAAGCAAGAATTGCAATTCAGGTCATACACACAGAGCAGGTGGTCTTCAGTATGTCCGAAGAGCAGAGAGAAGGTTGTAGGTTGTATAAAAAGGAGAAATATAAGATATTGTTTTGAAAAAAAGTTCATTGGCACTGGTAAGATTTTGGGGAGCTGGCCAATTCTGATTGGTAAGTGATGGCAGTGGGTAAAACTAGTCTTTGAGTCACAGCAGGTTGTTTAGCAGCTATTAGATAAAACTGGTTTCAGGCTACAACAGGCCGTTTCAGCAGTCGGGCTTGTGCAAGATTTAATTCTTAGAGCA